GAGTAATTATGGTAATGAGAGCTCAGTCAGACAATGAGAGTAATTATGGTAATGAGAGCTCAGTCAGACAATGAGAGTAATTATGGTAATGAGAGCTCAGTCAGACAATGAGAGTAATTATGGTAATGAGAGCTCAGTCAGACAATGAGAGTAATTATGGTAATGAGAGCTCAGTCAGACAATGAGAGTAATTATGGTAATGAGAGCTCATTAAGACAATGACATCAATTATGGTAATGAGAGCTCAGTAAGACAATGACATCAATTATGGTAATGAGGGACAAAACGACAATGAGTATCAGTTAACATCCCAAAAGATTACATACAACAAGAAAAAAAGGATGAGAACCAGTGGAGTAGTGCAGGCCTTGTAAGTCAACGGTAAATGTAGTGTTAACAACACGTGCTGAGTGCTCGTGGTTTCAGCCAAGTAAGTGTTCAAGTAATGTAAGGATTTAACACAGAAACAAAGTAGCTCTGATTTACCATCGTATAGCAGTGACGTCATCTTGGCACACGTGACGTCATCGTACCTCCGCACCTCAAAGCCCAGGTCCTGAAATCGTTCTTCCAATCTCTCGGCATCTACGTCACTGCCATCTCTAAATGGGAAGATGTGTCATGGATAAGTTTACAGGCAGCAGTCAGTCATTAAAACAAATAAAATAAACATCATAAACATGACATTAATTCATCCAGTTTAAATCATTGGCACTGTTCATAGGCTTATGGCTAAAACTTCTTCAAATTACACACAGACCTTTCTAGTACAAGACACGGACCATGCTATTAATACACACTGACCTTGTTTGGTACCATTACACCGACCTTTCCATTATTGAACACCGACGTGTTTGTTGTTACCTTATGACCATTCATACTGTTTTACCAGTAGAGAACTGGGTTTTTGGAAATTCTTTTGGGGTCAGTCGTGATTTGCGACCATTAAGCCAACAGTTGAAGTTAAACGCTACACATTTACAAAATCGAAGCTATTTAATATACCAAAAGATTCAGATGGTCTGATACACAGGTATAAACATATAACAAGAATAGCATAATGAAAATATAAT